GCATCAAGACAAAAATCCTCACCATTGAGTCGATAGACAATATCATGTTAGAAGAAGAAAAAATTGAGATTCCTGAAGAAATATCATATCATGATATTTCATATCATGTCATCATATCTTCATATCATGAAGAAAAGATTGAGATTGTCAATGATTTCATCTTGCTTAGATCCACAATCATCATCCTTGGCACAAATCAAAAGATGCATAGCATTGGGGAAGTCTGCAGTCAGAAATGGTGCCAGTGTGAAGACTAATGTTTGCCTGATTCAGGTTATAGTCTTTTCAATCACGTGTTATGCGTCTGAGAGCTGGACCATGAATAAGGATGGCAGAAGAATTGATGTCTTTGACCTGTGGTGTTGGAGAAGAGTACTGAATATCCCATGAACAGTCAAAAAGACAAATAAATACATCTTGGAGACAAGGAAACCATAGGGCTCCTTAGAGGCAAGGATGGCGAAGCTTTGTCTCACATACTTTGAGTATGCTGTTGTTGTTGGGAGGGGTGTTATTCCTTTAAGAGAGACATCATGCTTACAAAGGTGGAGGATAAGGGAAAAAAGAAAAAGACCCTCAATGAGATGGATTGACACAATGACTATATCAACAGGATCAAGCATGTCAGAAATGATGAAGATGGCTCAGGACAGGACAGGGTTCAGTTCTGTTGTTCATAAATTCACTATGAGTCATAAATGTAACAGCAACAACTTACCCAAGCTCAGCCTTGCCCAACGACCTGCTTTTTCCTCTCACCACCATGTCCTTTTCCTCTTTATTGTCTTCCTGGAAAAACTCATTTATCCTTCAAGTCTCAAACTAAACATCACCACCTATATGCAGCTCTCCCAGAGCTATCGACATAGGACAAGGTGACATGGGCTGCAGCAGACTAAAGCTCAGACTGGAATTGTTGCTGTTAGGTGCCATCATGTTGACTATGACTCATAGTGACCCTATGAATAACATATCTAAACCAGGCCTTATCCTGTGCTATCCTCATCATCTCTGATATAATTGAGCCCACTGATACAGTCACTGTGTCAATCCATCTTGTTGACGATGTTCCTCTCCTTCACTGACCCTCGGCCTTTCCAAACATGATGTCTTTTTCCAAGAACTGGCTACTCAGATATATCTATTTCTAGCTCTACAGTTTACCAGCTTTATACTTAGACAAGGCACTTAAACCCTCTGAGCCTGAGTTTTCTCTTCTGTAAAATGAAGATCATTTGTTTACCTTGTAAGACTGGTGAAAATTAAAATGAGATATTGTATGAGAAGTTCTTAGAATAATTTCTAGCACGTGGAAAACCTAAAGTGGTCAGCCAACAAAGACATAAGGTAAACAGTAACACCAAGGAGACACTCATCCTAAGAACAACTATATTTACAAGATCAACATGGCTTTATTTGCCCTGGCAAAAATCTCAGAGAGGAGGAAGGATTAGGATGTAAAGATTAATGGAAATTAAAATCACAGGGAAGAGGCAAGAAGAGTGCTATTACAACATGAGAATTATAATTACTGTCACAAAATAAAATGTGCATAAAGGGCTGAAAGAAAAACTCACTCTGTAAATTTCCAAATCACAATTAAAAATGTAAACTCAACATTTAATATTAGCACTTTTAATTATGAGCACTTTCATATAGAGGGGGAAAATATTTTCTGAGCTTCTACTATGTGCTGGACACTTTCACATGTATGACCTCATTTACCTCCCATGACCTCATCAGGAAGACCACCTTTATTTATTTTTGTTATTAGGTGCTGTTGAGTTGAGAACGACTCATAGTGACCCTATGAACAAAAGATCTGAACCCCGTCCTATACTGGGCCATCCTGAGACGTCCTGACACACAAGAATCCATTGCAGCAGTCACTGTGTCAATCAACCTAGTTGAAAGTCTTCCTCTTCTTCACCAACCCTCTGCCTTTCTGAGTATCATGTCCCTTTCCAAGGAATAGCTTCTCCTAGCAACATGTGCCCCAAGTATGCTTGATGAAGCCTTATAATCTTTGCCTACAAAGATCAAAAACTCTTTCTGCAAAAGCAAAGATTCAATAAGGTGATATGGCTTACCCAGTCACAGCTACAGGACAACTGAGATGGGTTTCAAACTCAATGGTCTGTGTAACTTCTGTGTCCATACATTTTGGGGTTTTCATAAACAGAAAACTGCCAGAAATTCAAGCTGGATTCAGAAGAAGCAGGGGTACCAGGGATATCATTGCGGATGTCAAATGGAACTTGGATGAGATTAGAGAATGACAAAAAGATGTTTCCTTTTATTCACTGACTATGAAAGGCATTTTACTGTCTGAATCATAACAAATTATGGCTAACATTGAGAAAAATGGAGCCCCAGAACACTTAATTGTGCTCATTCAAAACCTATTCACAGACCACAACAGTACAAGATAAAACAAGGAAATACTACATTATTTAAAATCAGGGTTATATCCTTTCTTCATACCTATTCAATTTGTATGCTGATAATTTGTATGCAAATAATTCAAGAAGTTGGACTATATGAAGAAAAATGTGGCATCAGGACTGGCGGAAAACTCATCAACAACCTGACACAACCTTACTTACAAAAAGTAAAGATCAGAGACTAAAGCCTTCAATATGCATTACAACTAAACATCAAGAAAACAAAAATTCACCACTGGACCAGTAGGTAACATCAGGATAATTGGAGAAAAGCCTGAAGTTGTCAATGACTTCATTTCACTTGGATGCATAATCAGTACCCATGGTGGCAGCAGGCAAGACATCACAAATCTTGTGGCTTAGTGGTAAGGAGCTGCACTGCAGTCCCTGGGGCAAGTGATTCAAATCCACCACCCACCTGCTCCACAAGAGAAGGATAGTTAGTCTCCTCCCCTGGGATTGATTGCCTCTGAAAACCCACTGAAGGGTCAGCTATCGGTTGGTTCCAACTCTATGGTACTCAGCAACAACCTTTTTTAAAGAAACCAAACATGAGATGCCATGTCATCACCGATGGCAATTAATTTAAAAAAAAAGTCAAAAGATATTTTGCATTGAGAAAATATACTGTGCAGAACCTCTCTAAAGTGCTAAAGAGCAAGGTTAGCTATTTAAAGACTAAGGTCCAGGGAGCTCTGGTGGCCTAGTGGCAAGAAGCTGTACTGCAATCCCAGAGATATGCGGTTCAAATCCACCAGATGCTCTGCCAGAGAAGGAGGGGCCATCTCCTCCTGTACCAGTCAGATCCAATTTGACAGTACACACACACAAAATAGTAAGATAAACATTAAAAAAAAGCTGCAAGGCTTAAAAAAAAGAAAAAAAGACTAAGGTGTATCTGATCTGAGTCATGATATTTTCCGTTGCTTCATATGCATTTGAATATTGGACAATGAATGAGAGACACCAAAAAAGAATTGATGTCTTTGATTAGTGGTACTGGAGAGGAGTACTCACTGCCAAAAGAACAAACAAATCAGTCTTGGAGGGAGTAAAGCTGGGATGCTCCTGCATGGTGAAACTTTGGACACATTGCCAAGAGGGACCAGTCCTTGGAAAAAAGACATCATTCTGGGAAAGGCAGAGAATCAACAGGAGAGAAGTGATGCACTGACCTAGTGACTTCAGAAAGGGCTTGAGCATGGCAGAGATTGTGACAAGGGTGCAAGACAGAACAAGATTCAGATCTGTTGTTCACAGGGTCACTCTGAGTTGCTGTCAACTGGATGGCAGCTAACAGCAACTACAACGACTACGATAAGTAAAAAAGAAGTTATCCTTATTATTATTATTTTAAGATTTTCAGGTAAATTTTTCATTGCTTTTAAACTAGATTCTCCACTTCTTAATCAGGCACTCAAGAGTCTATAATTTTCTTTCTACTTTGCTATCTCAAGACCCAGAGGGTCTACAGTAAGATAACAAGTTAGAGCCAAAGGAGGCCCCATAGTGAGACCATGATAGAAGGTAAGCTCCATCCTGCATTCATGCAGACAAGATGTTAGTTTAACAGGTAAGCTCAAAAAACTTCATTGCCGTGGAGTCAGAACTGACTCACAGTTGACTCTCCCGTGGGTTTTCGGAGACTATTAATTGCAAAGGAAGAAAAGGCCTATCTATCTTTCCCCTGCAGGGCCACTGGAGGATTCACATTTCCAGAGAAGCTGTCTTTGGGCCTAGGCCACCAGAGCTCCCTCAAAGCAGCGAATAGTTTTGGATAAACATCTAAGCCCTAGCACCTGGCGGCTGATATTTGCATGCTCCCTGGGTGATCTTCTGCACTGTACAAACTCTTTTACCTGATTTACAGATCTAAACAAATTCTGCCCAAGAGGTCACTAACTTCTCACTGCCAGGTCAAAGTGAGATCATTTTCTCAGGTGAGTGAGGGGCCAGGGCCAAGTTCCAGGGCAGCAGAGCCCAGCCTTCCCCTGGTGTTAACTGTAGTTGGCCGAGAAGGAAAAGATAAACTTCTTGAGATGCTGACTTATCAACTTGTAAGAAATTTCTGCACAAGAACACAGTCTAAAACCAGGAGAGCAAAAGAGTCTGGGCCAGATGGAAAACTCAGTCAAGAAGTTGGTAAAAAAAAAAACCAAACAAACAGCGGGGAGCTCTGGTGGCCTGGTGGCAAGAAGCTGCACTGCAATCCCAGAGACGCATGGTTTGAATCCACCAGATGCTCTGCCGGGAAAGGAAGGACAATCTCCTCCTGTACCAGTCAGATCTGATTTGACGGTACACAGACACACAATAATAGTAAAAAAATAAAGAATTAAAAAAAATAAAAAATAAAATTAAAAAAATAAAAACATTTTAAAGAATATATAAAAAAACCAGCGAACTTTAGTTGGCTGGTAGCCTAGGGGCAATGCAGCCTTACGCTAGCAGCTTTGACAGCGCACAGGACCATGGAGTCTAGAAGGTGAGAGGTCTCTTGGAACAGGTGGTTAAGCATGCAGCCATGTCTCCAAAAGATGCTGGGGTCTTACCTACCTGGACAGGCTCTGGCGACCTCCTGGAGGAACATCCTGGTATGTGAGCCAAAGGGTAGCTGGAATATAAGGCTGAGCTCTGCAGTGTCCAGCTGGACAGTCACATCTGAGCCTGCACAGAAGAGGCAGAAAATGAGCCCAGGAGAGGAGCATTCAGATTCATCCTAAGGCTAGGATTCCCAGAATGGAGGATCGGCAGTCTAGGCTCCCAAACTCCCTTTGACTCCTTAAGCAACTCTCTCAGGTCTGCTGCTGGGGCAATAAATAAATAAATGAGATCTTCTGTGACTTCAGCTCCAAATTTACATCATCCCTGCTTTACATATGGGGTAAACCAAAATTCTAAAAAGTCAGTAAGATTGACCCCAACAGTACTAGATGGAGCTGGGGAAAAAACCCCAAAGCAGATTCTCTGAACATGCACTCTTATTACCATCCTATGGGACAGACAGACAAGAGGGTTGTCATCAGTCAGTCTACCTGACTGTGCCAGGCACTGTGCAGGACAAACCATGGTGATGAGAACAAGTAAGAGCTTGTCTGCAGGGAGCTAGACTATGGAAGGCTTTTTGTTCATAATTTATACCCACCTGGCATGTGGCAGACACTTAAAATCTGCTGAAATGAATGAGTAGAAAGAAACAGTCTAGTAAAGTGGTTAAGCATATGGGCTCTAGAGTCTGGATCTGAGTGGGAATCCTGGTTCCACCATATTATGTATTGAATCATGCTTCTGCCTCCAAAAAAATATGTCTCTGTGCCTGTAGTTATCATTCCATTTGGGAATAGGCTGTCTTCCTTTTGTTAATGAGTCAGCATTAGTATAGAGTGTTAAATCCCTTCTGAGAGATAAATGAGATTAAATGAGCAGGTGAGAGAAGCAGAGCTGAGGAAGACACATGCCACATGAAGATGTCCCAGGAGAAGCAGCTCAGAAGAGACAAGGACCCTGCCCTGCACAGAGGAAAAGCCTTTCTTGACAGGAAGAAAAAGCCCTCCTCTAGAGCTGGCACCCTAAATACGGACTTCTCACTTCCTAAAATGAGCCACAGTAGCATCATATATAATGTATTGATCTGCTAACCCAATAGCCACTTGTTCAAATCCAGCTGCTCTGAATGAAATACATAAATATTTACCACCTCAGAAACTCAATGTATTTTGTCACCATGAGTTGGAGCCTTGTTGGTGGCTGTGGTTTTGACTTCTTGGTTTAAACTAGGAGATAATAAATTTCTGCTTGTTCAAGTCACCAATTTGTAGCATTTCTGTTATAACAGAACTAAATAACTAAGTCACACTACTTATTAAATCACTTAATTTGGGAGGCCTCAGTTACCTAGTCTATAAAATGGACATGAAAACAGCTTCACTAACTTTTGAGGAAAGCACAGTAAGATGTGGGTGTAACATTTCCTGACCCCAAAACATTTACTTCTATTAGTATTCTTAATATTAGCATCTAGTGAAGAAAGACATTCAATAAGTTTATAAGTTACAAAGGATCAACTGTGAGTGGCAGAGAGCCACCAAGGATAAGAAAAAAAGCAGCTGTAGCAGTGAGATCCACATGACTATAGGTGTTCAACCAAAGTGTTCAAACTGGGAAAAGTCATGTATAGACTGAAATCATGAAGAATAAGTAGGCATTGGCTAAGTGTAAAGAAAGTATGAGGAAAAGGGAAAAGTGTGCAAAGGCTTGTGCAAAGGCTGCATGGTGATACGGGAACATTTGGAGCAATCCTGCTGGATGAAGGCCCAAAGTGGGCATGGACCAGATGCCACAAAGTCTTAACACAGTAACAATCTAAGGGGGTGCTCTAACTCCTCATCTTTCACCCACCTCTCACTGCAGATCTTACACTCCCTTTCCCTATTTGGGACCCCAACTGAAAAGCCTACTCACCAAGGATGTAGAGTTCACCATCTGGGGACACTGCAGAGAAGGAAATGATCATTGAGCACCCCAGCTTTATAGATATCTCCCTTGCACCCCAGCTTTATCTATGTCCCCTGAAGAAGGAGGTGACACAGGGGCCCAGAGGAAAAGAATTCCTACCACCTGACCCCCTGCAGCACCTTCTTCCAGTGAAAAATCCCGAGAGACTGGCACGATCTGGTCCAAAGTGACATCGTCCCCGGTAATGGCCATCCTCCGGTGCGTGTACAGGAAGAGGCTAAAGGCAGGAAGCAGAGATGAGAGCAGGGGCTGCTGTTGCCCCTTGGATCCATTCTGCAGGTTCAAGGTGGTTGTACTCCCTCCTTGAGGCCTTGGACTGTTTGTTGGCCTTGACAATGCAAACCTCCTTGTGTCATCTCTTTCCCCAGAGCCCAACATGAACTCCAGTTTTATAGGTGAGGACATCAAAGCCAAACTTCTTTTGCTAGTAAAACATGTGATTGATCTACCTATTGCACATTCTAGCACTATGTGTGAGAGAGAGACAGTGGACCCAATCAATTCCTTTCCCTCCCCTAGATCTCAATTTCTCATCTGGTAAATGAGAGTGGTGGACTAGAAATTGTCTAAGGCCCCTTCCTTCTCAGCTCTGAAACACTAGGGGTCACATACTAGCTCTAAAACCTAACCTTAAGACTGGTTCTCCCTCCCTCTTTCCCTCCCCCTCTTCCATGTAAAATACAGATGCTACAGGCATTGAGCTGTTTCACTCATTTGAGCACTAATGTAGATCCCTGAGTGCGATTTGCATTGGAGTTCTGGTGGTGTAGTCTGTAGAGAGCTGCGCTGCATGCAGATCCAAAGGCAAGGCCTCTCTGATGATTTAAGTCCACCAGCTGCTCCAGGGCAATCTCCTCCTGTATGATTTACAGTCTTAGAAATCCAATGAAGTGTCAGCTAAGAGTCAGTTCCAACTCAACAATGACAGAGAGAGAGAGTAACCTGCATGTTGCAGTTTGAACTTACCTCATGGTACCAGGGAAGAAAGATGGAGATCTGCTCCTTAAAGATGACACTGAAGAAGACCCTATGGAGTAGTTCTCTATGCTGTAGACTTAGAGGTCGCCGTGAATCAAAAGCGACTTATCAAAAGTAGGTCTGATTTTTATTTATTTTTTTTTTTCCAGGGAAGGATATCTCCTGTTGTTTTAAACACTTTACAGGTACTTGTTTGCTTTAATCCTGACAAAATGAGATGCAGAGGATTTGTTCAAGATCATGTGGCTTAAAAGTTAACAAAGCCTGGATGTGAAGCCAGCCAGGCCAAACTCGCTCCCCCTACGTTCTGGTTCAGTGCAGCTCCAGCTCCGCACTAAGTATGTCAAACTGCCTCTTCTTGAGAAAGGTCCCTCACCAAGTTGGAAGGATTAAATGAGTTAATGCCTGTGATTCGACAGTGCTAAGAAGTGTTTAAGAATCAACTATCGTTGTTGTTGTGTACCCTAGAGTCAAAACTGACCCTCTGTCAGGTTTTCAGATGCACTGCCCATCCTTCTCACACAGAGGAGCTGGTGGGTCTGAACTGTGTGCCTTCGGGATTGCAGTGCAGCTTCTTGTCATTAGGCCATCTCAAACCCTGCCGCAGATAGATGACTGGAGTCCAGCTGGAGGGTACATTGTAGAATAACCACCACACACAAAGCTCGAAGCCCTCACTTACGCGTGTTCCTGGCCACCATGCTGCAGGCGGTGGCGGATGAGCCCCAGTAGGCGGCTCTGCCGACTGTCTCCCTCACACAGCACACCTTGCACTGCCTGCTGCTTGGTGTTAAGGAAAACAGAGACCAGGGATGGGAAAACTCCCAGCACTGCCGGTCCAGCCTCACCTGCCTTCTTGCTCTTGTCCCCACAGATTTACTCTCTGACCCTGAACAAGAACTTCATCTCTCAGGTTTCCACATCAAGGGGTGGAGAGAAAGGTGGCTAGGCAGATAACTGGATATTTAAAGCTCCTGTGGTCCAGCACTGGGTGGGTACTTACTACTCATTTCCTTCTCTCCTTGACTGCAGGGAGAAAGAGTGGGTTGATAAAAGGCAGAGAAGAGTGACACCTTCTATTCCCTTTCCCAAGGCCAAGGCAGGCCCCAGGGCTGGGGTTTCAGCACTAGGAAGGATATGATGATGCAGTATTCTCCCTTAGCCAGAGTCTCCTGAATTGCCACGGACTGGTCCATGCTGAGCCCTGCTGAGCAGAGAGACACACCCTGAGCGAACACATATGGATAGACATCCGTTTTGGTCAACAGGTTACCCAGGAGGCGATGGAGCTTCCTCAAAGAGTGGGGCGAGGAAGAACAGGGCCTTTAAAGAAGAGGACAGTAGAGGGAGGGTCTGGTCCTACCCATTTTCCCAAGGGTGGGGCTTTTAAGTTCTTAAGGATAGGCTCGTGGCCCTTTGCCCCTGACCCGAAGCCTGGGCAGGCATCTAGTTGTTCCCACGTGGGGTCAGATCTAGTGGAAAGTGAGTCCTTACTGGAGCGGAGGTCCGCTCCCATTGTTCCTGAGACAGGATTTTGGCTCCATTTCGGGGTGAATTAGTTTTGCTGGCACTTCACTAGGTGCTGGTCTCCATCAGGTTGGGGAAATATACCTTTATTTTCACGGGAAGGGTAGCTCTTATCCCGTTCCTTTTCCCTGGAAGTGGGAAAGGCATCCGGTTGCCCCCCACCCCCACTCCCACAGGCCTCATTGATTGCATCAGCTGCAGGGCGGGGATGGGGGGGTGGGTGTCTGGTCATGACAGCTGCGGGACAAGGGCCCACAGCTGTCAACTTGCACCCTTCCTCCTGCCCAGTTCTGCCTTGACTCCCCTATTCCGAACCTGCACCCAGTCCTGTCATTGCAGCCTACCTCCTGAGCTGTCACCGGCGGCGGGAGACACTGTAGCCCCAGACTGGGCCTGTGACTACGCTTCCCAACAGCCCCCGCGCCATACGATGGTCAATCAGCATACAAGTCCCAGCATGCCCACAACAATCGTCCTGTAGGGGGGCACCCTCACCCCCATTAACTCTTTAGATCCTGAGATACGCTGGGGTCCTAATTCCAGAAAGGCGTCTCTAATGAATAACCCCAATCCCTGCACCTCCAAGTCCTGAGGCCATAATTTTCTGCCCAAGGCCCGGAAGAAGTTTGCTTTTCTTTGCCTTACGGGAAAGATAATAAATTTTTTATCTCTTCCTCAAGTCTGTGCTCAACTCCTCCCACTCCACTGAAACTGGTTTCCTCAAAATAACTAATCTCTGCAAGTTTAAAGGCAAACAACACTAGAAAGAAGTATTATCCCCAATTTTTCAGGCAGGCCAACAGAGACTTAGAAAGATGAAGCAAATAGACCACGACCCCGCAGCTAGCCCCGTGGCAAAATTGGGACTAAATGAAGGTCTTAACTTCAATTAATGCACCATTTATACTGCCCCACATAGTCACATGTTTCCTCCTTTAGCCTCAGTCTTCTCTGCCTTAGGGACTATTGTTATTGCTCTTATGTATTTTCAAATCAGAACTGACCCGCTGAACCTCTAGTAGGTTTTCAGAAACCGTAAGTCACATGGGAGGAAATTGCCGTCTTTCCCCAGAGCTCTCTCATGGACCTTTAGGTGTAAATCTTGTCATCCTGCTCTTGAGCAGTACTGTGAGGGGTATCTCAAACAGAGTTAAGAATTCTGCATTCCTTCACCACAGCACAGTTTGTGGCAGACAGCTGGCCCTCAAAAAGGTTTACTGAATTAACTAATTGACAATGTATGAGCAACAGATCATCCAGGAGGCTGGGCTCTATGAGGAGAAATGCGGCATCAGGATTGGTGGAAGATCTATTAACAATCTGAGTTATGCAGATGACACAGCCCTGCTTGCTGAAAGTGAGGAGGACCTGAAGCACCTGCTGCAGAGGGTCAAGGACTGCAGCCTCCAATATGGATTGAGGCTCAATGTCAAGAAGACAAAGATTCTCACCACTGGGCCAATTGGCAGCATCAGAATGGATGGTGAAGAGATTGAGATTGTTCTCAGCTTTAGTTTGCTTGGCTCCAAAGTCAACACTCTCAGCACCAGTAGCCAGGAAATTAAAAGACGTATTGCGATGGGAAAGTCTGCTGTTAGGGACTTCTCCAAAGTACTGAAGAGCAATGGTGTCTCTCTTGAGACTAAGGTGTGTCTGATACAGGCAATCACTTGTTATGCATCAGAGAGTTGGACAATGACCAAGGAGGATAGAAGGAAAATTGATGCCTTTGAGATGTGGTGCTGGAGAAGAGTATTGAGGGTACCATGGACTGCTAGGAAAACAAACAGATTCATCCTGGAAAGGGTCAAACCGGGTGGCTCCTTGGAGGCAAGGATTCTGAAGCTTCGTCTGACATACTTTGGTCATGTTGTAAGGAGGGGTCCTTGGAGAGGGACATCATGCTTGAGAGGGTGGAGGGCAGGCGCAGGAGAGGAAGGCCCTCTATGAGGTGGATTGATTCGGTAACAGGGGCAATCAGGATGAGTGTGTCGGAGACAGTGAGACTGGCACAGGACAGAGCAGAGTTTAGAGCTGTTGTACATAGGATTGCTATGAGTCACAAGTGACTTGACGGCACATAACACCAACAACATGAGCAAGAGCCTGTGGTAATGAAGGAGGAAATTCAAGTTGCTCTGAAGGAATTGGCAAAAAACAAGGCTCCAGAAGTCGATGGCATACCAAGTGACAGAGTTCAACAAATAGACGCCGCCCTGGATGTGCTAAGTTGTGCCAAGAAATCTGGAGGACAGTTACCTGGTCAACTGACTGGAAGAGATCAATATTTGTTCCCATTCCAAAGAAAGGTGACCTGTCAGAGTGTGGAAATTATTGAACAATATCATTAATATCACATGCAAGCAAGATTCTGCTGAAAATTATCCAAAAACAACTGGAGCAACACCTCAACAGAGAACTGCCAGATGTGCAGGCTGGGTTTAAAAGAGGCCATCGTACTAGGAATATTATAGCTACTGTTAGATGGATCTTGGCAGGAAGCAGAGTAGCAGAGGAATGTCTGTCTGTGCTTCATTGACTATACAAAGGCTTTTGACTGTGTGGATCACAACAAACTGTAGCTGACTCTGAGAAGAATGGGAATCCCAGAATATTTGATTGTGCTTATGCGAAACCTATATTTGAACCAAGAGGCAGTTGTCAGAACAGAGCAAGGAGATACTGCATGGTTCAAAATCAGGGTATCCACCAGGAATGTATTCTGTCTCCATACCTTTTTCAATCTGTATGCAGAATAGATTGTCCAGGATGCTGGCCTGAACTAGGAGGAATGTGGCATCAGGATTGGAGGAAGATCCATCAGCAACCTGCATTATGAAGATGACACAATCTTGCTTGCTGAGACTGAGAAGGACCTGCTTGCTGCAAAAGGTCAAGGACTGCAGCCTTCAATACGGATTGAAGCTCAACTTCAAGAAAACAAAGATTCTCACCACTGGACCAATTGGCAGCATCATTATGGATGGTGAAGAGATTGAGATTGCTAACAGTTTTAGTTTGCTTGGCTCCACAACCAACACTATTGATACCAGCAGCCAGGAAATCAAGAGACGAATTGCATTGGGAAAGTCAGCCAACTGGCAGGGACCTCTCCAGAGTACTGAAAAGCAACAAAGTCAGGCTGGAGACTAAGGTGTGCCTGCTCCAGGCCACAGTCTTTGCAATTGCATGCTATGCTTCAGAGAGCTGGTGACTAAGGATGATAGAGAATTGATGCTTTTGAGCTGTGGTGCTGGAGAATGTTGAATATACCATGCACTGCTTGGAGAACAAACAAGTTTGTCCTGCAGAGGGTGAAATCAGGCTGTTCCTTGGAGTCAAAGATTCTGAAGCTTTGTCTGACATACTTTGGGCATGTTGCAAGGAGAGACCTTGGAGAGGGACATCATGTTTGGGAGGGTGAAGGGACAGCACAAGAGAGGAAGACCCTTAATGAGATGGGTCAATTCAGTGATTGGGGTAATGGAGTGGGTGTGTCAGAGACAGTGAGGTTGGCACAGGATAGAGCATAGAACATAGCGTCGCTATGAGCCACAAACTACTCGATGGCACATAACAACAACAATCTATTCAATGAACTGATTCCCAAGCTTCGACTCAAGCAGAAGGAGCAGTTAACAAACGAGCAAGTTCTGGGCATGGGGTGATCATTGTAGCTTCTATTCAGTACCCTCTCCTCTTTCCCTGAACTTGGAGTTGCTGCTTCTAATCACCAGAGCTTAGACTTGAATTCAAGGTTCTGGCTCTTAAGAGAATGTTTCTTTCTCTGTTGCCTCTGGATGAAGGTCCATGTCTTTTCAGTTCTACTTTCTGGTTCCTTGGCAATCTCCACATACCTTGATGTTTACCATCCCCTTCTTTCCTCTACTAGTTTGTTTAATCTTTTCTATCCATTTACCAATTACTCCAGACATATGTTACATTACTCTAGTTTTTTGATTTTTCATGACTCTTTTTTAGACATGAATTCATATATATCATTAATGTATCATTTATGTACTATAAAAGCCACTATGCACACCCATGTTTATTGAGGCTTTGCTCACAATAGCAAGGAGTTGGAAACAACCTAAGTGCCCATCAACAAACGAATGGCTAGAGAAGCTGTGGTATATTCACACAATGGACTACTATGCTGCATTGAAAAACAAGGAACTTATGCAATTTTATTCAAAATGGGTGACCCTGGAGGATATTATGCTGAGTGAAATATTCCAGTAACAAAAGGACAAATACTGCATAGTGCCACTGTTGTAAAACAGGACTGACATCAGGGATGGGGAGAGACTGAGAAAGACAGGATAAATAATTTATACTGCATTGAAACAGATGAGGGAGAAAACTGATTAAAAGGGGTATATGATTATGTATTATTGTTATGACAGGAATCCAGAACAAAGACTGCATAGTGGAGTGGACTTGGGGGGGGGGATTGAATAACAATGAAAAAAATTTACTTTTCAAAGAGAAGAGCAAATTGGGGGACGGAGGGTGGACAGAGAGAAAAGTGCAACAGTGAGTGAATGGAAACTCAATCTCTGTAAACTTTTGTTAAAATTAATAATAATAATTTTTTTTAAAAAGCCGCTAACATTAAATAAAAATTCATTTCTTCCTAGGAAACTAATGGAGTTGTGCAACTATCAAACCATCTCCC